GCTGTAGTTTGATTTGCCGCTTCTCGTTTCCATCTTCTCTTTTTCTTCTTCTTTTTTTTATACCACTTTTTTGACACCAATTTGTTACGTTTCTGTTCGTTAGTTAATTTTCCGTAACTTCGTTCCCACGAAACTTTAGCGACACAAATCCTGTCTTAAATAAAATTGGTTTATTCTTTCTGAATATAACTTTACGATACACTTAATTTCAACAGTCGCTCTAAACAAATGCTCACGTTTCACGTGGCCAACAATATTTTATCCGCATACATTCAATTACTCATTGCATTGTCCCCGTCATGTTGTGAACATCTTATGTATATACAAGACTAACACATATCTAGTAAATGCTAGGGCATTCTTGAAGGAACAGGATATTTCTAGAAACAGGTGACGTGATACTAGTCACGTGACCTCGCTGACGCAACAGTACTATACATGGGCTGACGTAAAGACAGCTGATGTTAAGGATACTTGAAGGATGTTTACAGAAATACTATTAAAAGCAACTGACAGAATGTTTAAACTATATAAGATTATATCCTTACCAATAACAATAAATCATACATTAGCTTTAACTATAGCAAATGATAAACCATACATTGCTGTCTCGAGTGATCAACACACATATGTTGAAATGACAGAAGAGGATATGTTAAATTGCATAGACGGACCTATTAGGGTTTGTGATCATAACTCAGGTATTTTTCCAGTACCTATTGTAACTTATAACTATGTAATATTCACAGGAAGTAAGAATAGAATATCTGAACTATGTGAGAAAAGAATAATTATTACTAAACCATTCTATTTTTATAAAATTAGAACTCCAAGAACTTGGTTATTTAACGTTAAAGATGAACTTACTTTATCAGTTGTATGCCCAAAGTCAAACGTACATCAAGTTGATTACCATACTAGAGTAATTAAGTTAAACAATAGTGGTTATCTAAAATGAGCTAGAAACTCTTTGGCTCCTGGTCAAGGTATCACCTTACCATCTAACTTTAGAAGTGAAACTAAATACATAGGGACTAGACTAAATGTAAGGATTCCAGAATTACAAGAACTACTAACTAAAAAGGAATTACAGTTAATTCAGAGTATAGATATAGAGACAAATATTAAAGGACTAACAGATATATTAGAGGACACTAAACATTTACCTCTTAGAAAGTCAGTGTTAAGTCTTTAGGATTTCCAGCAGCATTTGGATCAATTAGGAGCTACAGCTGGAAAGCAAAAGTTAGATAATTGGAAATTGTCTAACTCAGTGATGATAACCTTATGTTTAGTAGTAATACTAGTAAGCATAACGTTGTATATCAAAAGAGTTAATGGCATTAGATGGGCTATGTAAAGCTAGAAAAAAGAAAAGAACAAGATCAGGCAATAATGAACTGTCTGAATATTAAGAAGCTACTGAAATAGTAGAACTGAATGAGTAGGCCCCATCTAATCAGGGTATATCTTGATTATTTAGATGATTGCAAATTGAATAGATATAACCAATTGGCGATGATAGTTGATTATTAAATTATGGTAATAGTCAAAATTGACAGGCAAAATTATTAGGCATAGAAAAAGTTCTAGAAATGACAAAATTTAATAGACAGTGACCAGGAGTAAGAAATAAACGAAGTGATGATGAAAATAGACAGTTAGACAGTAACAACGAATCCAGAAATAAGTTATGTGGACGGACAGAAACTGTTATCAATAAAGGACAGATTGACAGTGTTTGTGATTTGAAAGAAGTGCACGAGAAAGTATGTGGGTTATGTGGTGCGTGAGTAAGTATATGTGTGTGTGTGACCAAGATGAGAATGGATCGAGTGGTGTGACTAAATGGTCTTTGCAAGAACAATCAGTAATAATACTTTATGACCATAGGAAACTAGGACAAAGAGCAGCGATAGTAGAAGTAGAGGGTTTCTGGGTGAACAGGAGATCAGTCGTTTATGGATCTCCTTCATATTAAGCAGAAACTCCATGAAGATTACATAGAGATTTACACCAAAGTAAGGAAGAAGGTACGGATACTACAACGCCAACTGAGAATCCAGTATATCAACCTCGAGGAATACGGTTGTCCAGCATATCGACATTTAGACTGTCCTAGAAGGCTGTTTTGCGATTACCATCATTATCTACATGAACACTGCGCATACTGGAAGGTGTGTGCACTGTACCAGTGGATTACTTACTGTGATTGGAACACTTTCCAGAACTTCTGTAGAGATTTCTATGTGAAACTTATAGTTGTTTATATCATTAATTTGTGTATTCCTCTTGAGAGTATTGGAATGTTATTTCTCTAAATATATTAACCACTTTGTATTATGTATTGTGTAACCACATATAACCATATAGATGTGTTTAACAGAGGTAGCATTTGAATGTATCTATCTATGATGTAAGTTTTCACTGATTGAGAGAGAGAGGTGAAAACAATGGTTAGATGATACATTTTGTTATGAATAACAAATTTTTTTTCTAAGGGAGGAGGAGTGAAGCAATTGGGTTATTTTTAAGGGAATTTACAATTGCTTCGACGTTTTTATGAGTTTTTATTAGTTTAGAAAGTTTAAGTAGTTGTGTTATTTGTAAACAACTAAGAAATGTAGATGAACTAGAAAAACAAGGTTAACTACGTAAGAAGCATTGCCTAGAAACGAGATGAATGTACTAGAACTTGTGACAGGTTGACCTCAACCCTTTAGAACTAGGAAAGCTACAGAAGCTCGGTGCTTTGAGGCGATATCGCATACAGCACATGGGTGTAGCAGTACAAGTAAATAGGTGGCCAGCTAACACAACCTAGCTGTAACCAATTATTGAGAGTTTTGGTTATGGTTTTGGAATAGCCTGGGGATTCCCCTAAATCATCCAATAGGATCACAGGTCTACTTGTGGGTGATGCCGTGTCCTATTTAGATGATCGGGATAATACACCAAAAATTTGCTTTATAAACCCATGTCAGAGACTGAAAAGAAAAAGTTCTTCAGAATTCAGAAAGAGTTCCTCTGGAAGCTGGAAAAGTCACTCTCTTGGGCAACATGAAGGTTTCTAATGTTATTCGATTTCTGAATACAACACCATTGTAAGTAAACTTTACTATTCTCTCTCAGTCAGTTAATACCAATGTTTTATAAAATGTTATGTTGAAATATATCTATGTGTATTAATGAAAGTGTATACTGAAGATATTACAAGTATTTTAATCGAGTTAAAAGCTATTTTATGTTTGTTAGTCATAAACGAAGTTTTGTCTTTATTAACTGTTAGTTAGCTGAATTAATGATTAATAAAATTATTTGTAAGAGTTCACCATTAGCCTGAGACTCTAATTCTTTAGTCTAACTGTAAACTACCTCTAGTTAACGACTTGTGGCTACACTCATCACGACAAATCCTCCAATAAATAAAGTTGGTGTAATGAGTAGTTTTAATTGAAACTCGAACAATTAAGCCCACCAGGGTGCTACTCATTACAGTTCTTTCAAAAAGGAAGGGTTTGGCAGGGTGTAGTAGAGGTCCAGTTTCTAGGAGGATAAGGAACTTATAATTAATAATCACTCTATTTTCTACAAAATACACATGTTTTGCTCATATTCACATAAACATCATTATTACAACACTACATATCATATAAACACATCAGTACCTTTTAATATACAATATCTATATACATATATTTAAGTTTATACATTATGTTGATGCTTACCTGGTGGGGATCAAGGGGGTATTTCTTCTTCTTGGCTGATATTTCGGCCACAGTTAATGATAGTACAAAAGAAACAATAGCTATGGTGAAGCCATCATTAGCCAGAACACCTATCAAATCCATTCTGGGAATAGCAGGGGCTGGCAACCTGATTAGATTGTGGAAATGTTCAGCTTTTATTATTTCAGTAAAAAAACTATTCTAGAGTTGACGAAAGTATGTATTACAAAAAAATATAAGAAAAACATGTTTCAATATTATTCTTTTTTTTAATATGGCAAATATTATATCATGAAAAGTCGGATAACTGTAGTTTGTTATTTAATCTAAATATTATTAGAACAATTTAAGTTGTAAACATAAGCAGTATAAAAAGGACATCATAAAGTTAACTAGTAAAAAACATTCAGTCATTATTCGACAGTTATTATAAGTAGACTTAGGATATGAAAGAAGCTATGAATGATAGACACAAAACTATGGAAAGACAAAATCTGGAATAGAGAAAAATATATAACTAACATTCACCGAAACATGTCGTGAAAGAGGTACAAATACCATTTGATTTTAATACAATCTTCAATGTAAGACAGCAATGACAGATTAAGATTTTTGAATTAACTGTAATGTACTAAAATGAATTAACTTCAATAAACACAAGAATCAACTGGAAGTTTTCTAATTCTGGTAAGGAACAATCTAGCAATAACACTTTTATTGATTGCTTTGTGCACTCTTGAAGTAACCAGAAACTAATTATACTTAGGCTTGTCCCAAGGCTTCAAAGGAAATAATTCAACTGGATATTTCAACCATGCTTACTAATGTTTAAGTAAACTTCCAAATTTGATAGTGATCAATGTATTGGGTTTTATAAATTTACAAAGATCTTTTTGAACTTACCCTACAGGAAACTCTCCTACAATCTCCACGCCGAGATTGGTATTAAACTTTCCTGCATAGGATATCACAGTAGCTAAAATAACCTATAAGAAATCAGAAAATATATGTTTTGATAATGATGTTTGCTGTTAAGAACAAAGTTACAATATGTACTATCTGTGCTGTGCCTACCCTGATACTGAAACCTGATTTTTAGCATTATAAGCTGAGCTACTAGGATGCTTTTTAATACTGTAATTTTAATATTTGCTGGTAGATATTGTTGTAAGAGGAGTCGTTTAATATTTATATTAACTATTACTTATCATATTAATTTCATCATTCAAAAATCGTAACTTTTTCTCAGGAAATTTAAAGCTTCAAGCACTTTTCAGGTATCTGAATGGTCATGATACGATGTAATTAATTGGTTCATTAAATGTCTAATATGTCTTGATAAAAGAATTAGCACAAAGGATCACATATAAAGTGTAATAAACTTAAAATAAGACCCAAAACTCGAACACTTTCGAATATTCGACTATTCTTCTTCAGGAAAATATGAATATTTTACAAAAGTTTTATGTTTTCCCTTAGCAGTGTGACTGAACAAAACTTCTCATAAAAAATCTACAAAATAAAAATATCATAAATATGTGGTATTCAGGTACATTTCTGTACAACACAAAGCCAAAATATTTCTTTGAATGTAGTTTTTCGGCAGTGTGGTCAATATTTGGCAAGTGTTTTTTGTGGACAGCTCCTACCTTATATTCATCTGGGAAAACGTTTCAGGCTTCAAGCTTGGAGAGTTATCAGTGTTTGATGTTTCATGTCACAGTTAGTGACAAGTATGTGTTTACATGTATTTGAAGTTATTATTTTCCTATACTGAAAATATATTTGCGGTACCTATCTACCTCCTCTTACATGTATAGCTATTCTCTTTCAGTGCTGCCCTCTATATGCAAAAATGTTTCGCATGCCACAAGCCTTGAACTCCCACGTATACCACGATCAATGTGGTTCAACTGTGTCTTGCATGTAAATCATCATGCAACAACCCTCCACCAATAGGAGTGCAACACACCTTTCTGATGCCTGTGACTCCCTCTATTCGATTCTACCAAATTATCAGAAAAGGAAGCACCAGTTTTCAATGGGGAGGAAGAGTAGAGGTAAGTACCTATCGGAAATATATTTTCCGTAGAGGAAAATAATAATTTCTGATATGGTACATTACCTCTTATCACATATATAGCTATAATCCCACACTGAATAGCTGGAGGGACCAGTGTGAGGGATAGAAAGAAGTATCCTTTGAGACCATCTGAAGAACACCCTTGAAGTGTGATCCCATTGGGAGAAGAACACACGTGGGAGACCACACCACTTCAGTACCAGGTGTTCTATGTGCCGAATGTGGAAAGAGGTGTGGCATACATGGGTGGAAAGTAGGGGTAGCACAACCAAAAAGGGAAAGAAAACAGAATGGGTTGAATACAAACCACAGGATACCGGAATCTCAATCCCACAAAAGAAAGATTGTAGAAGAACCATCTACAGACAGGAATGTGTGGAAAGCTAAAATGAATGTGCTCCAAGGCATAGAGTGGCTAGGGTGTGAAAGACTGTCAACTTCAATCATACATTTGGGATGTGTCAATGTGGCAGGTCACATCAAATTTAAACTCAATCAGACTGGTTCCCCACTGCATAACATCAGCTTCAGGCAGTAAAAACTGAGTAAGTTGAATAACTGCAAATCAAAATTAGTTTAATAGATACAAACCAAACATATATTCGAATAAAAATAACTCCAAAAAAATAATATCTATACTATGATTTCTTTCACTTTAAATGAACAAATCATGTCCCGATTTTACCTATTAAAGACCTGAGTCAGATAACTAAGAATATCTTTTAGTGTTACCAAAACTGCAAGATAATCCTTCATTTACAATTTATATCAATAAAAACATTAGATTTGCCATGTTTTTCAGTTCATGTGGTGTAGATTCTTTAATAATTTTTTTCTTCCTTCAGTAAAAATCACATGCTACAACTGTATATATTTCGCTGTTCAGTTTAATCCAAACCCGAAATATTCTTTATCTGAGTTAAAAACACATGGATCACGAAATCATTTTAAATCTCAGTACAGCTCAAGCCAATCACTCAGGTTTTCACTAAATGTATCTCAATATTACAAACCAATACTATTTACTTGCTTGAATAATTTTTTACTCTTGAACATATCATTTGTGTATGAATGCACAAACTAGTTTAACAAGTAGTCGAAAAAGGTGTGAACACCACAAACCCTCCCATTTCTACTTCATGTAACACCTAACATGTAATGTGTAATACTAGTACATAGAATCACCGATGAATTTCTCTATGGTTTCTATAGCAACCGACGAGAGCCAGTCACACACTCAATGTGCTTTTTGAAAAGATGAAACCTACACATGCCACACATTGAATTAGTTATACCAACTTGATAGCTGTTCCAAAAATAAAAGCAGTCACAGGTGGGCTTACACATAATCTAAGGTAGTAGACGTACAAGAAATGGCAGAAAAATTACTTCACTGTCTTAAAACAAAAACTAGTCGGAAGCCAAACTGTTTTAGTGCCGCCATCTAGTGGTAATGAAAAATCCACTACATTAGATAAACATGAAAAATAACTGTGGCAGAAATGTTGTCAAAATATAGCATACATCACCTGATTTATATAGTTTGTGTAATTTTTCGTGTCATATTAGGGTACAATCTTCCGACTGAACTTCAGGAAGACTGTTATATACCGACCTATCGGGCATGATCTTGCACAGTGGAACAGACCAATGCTTCACTGTCTTACTCATAAGATCAGAAGATAATTCAGGAAGTTTATACTCACAAACGTTTGCTAACATTCACCACAAAACTTAGCCTGGCTGCTCAAAAAATGAAAGATGTAAAGTTCTTTCCTATATTTGTCAGTACCTCTGGTCGTTATAAACAATTGAATCTAATTGTAACTCTCTCCCTAGGAGTTTCATCGAACAATCTCAGCTGTCCTAGCTCTGTATCCAGCTAATTTCATGCAGTCTGTTGAACAGAAATGTTGCTACAACTGAAATAGATAGATTGAGTGACTATCTCAAAACATCAAGCCAACTCTCGCCACCAAATATTGCTTTATAGCTCAGAAAATATGGGTTGTAGTACCTTTTCAGTTGATGACTTTTATACCAACCAATTCTCTTAAGTGTAAAATAATCAAATGACTATCACACAGGTTACTGCATATACACATTCTATTAAGAAACACCACTTCATTTCAGTCATTGATTTTTTAAGTCGGCTGACTGTCAGCATTACCGATCAAGCATTTAATCCCAGCCATAAAGATTAGGATATAATCACCAGGGTCTCATGTGATTGATCACTAGAGCAGACTGAAGTTGCTTCAAGTGGCATTTAATCATCCGACTATTTATAAACAGTCAAGTATATAGTACCGATGTGCTCCTTCTCATAAGTTGAGATAAAATCGAAGAATAAACAACTCTCTTGACACATGGTTTATTCAAGCATTTTCTGCCACAAGAAATCATGCATATTGGTTATTGCACAATGAAGCCATTTCACATATTCCCGTGGATCATAAATTATATTCACAGGGAGCTGTCCTTCTCATCCGAACATTAAGAGTTTCAGCGAAAATCACACAACTATTTCTCAGTTGCGTGGCATGCCACTGTGACAAATGATAGGTACTCATCCTAATGGGATTGGTTAAAGTTAACTGGTTTACCGTCTGTACTGCCCATTCATACAAACTTTCAGCTTCAGGATAATATGGTGAAATGCACGTTTTCACAACACCCAAAACTCGACAAAATTCTGTAAACAGAGAGCTGTTGAAATTAGCTCTTTGATCCATGTAGATCTCCCCATGAATGTTGAAGCATGAAATATGTTGTTAAACTAACACACTTGTGAAGTGACAGTATTTATGTTTAGTTATTTGATAAGCTTCAGCCCACATTGTGAATTTATCAGTAATGAACAGCACATGTCAATTACCTTTAGTAGTTTTGAGCAGAAGTTCAGCCATTTCCAGGGCGATTATCACCAGAAGGTAACTACCACTCCATATTTGAGTTTTCTTTAGTGTTTCTAGTTCTTACTCTAAGTAACACACTGAGTACAGAGTATACACTATTGTTCAACATCCTGACATGAATGTTGCCAGAAAAATTCCTTTCAACTATTTGCAACACTTCATGACAATCCCTAATGCTCTCCATTCCCAGCATTATACAAAGCCCGAAATATCTATTTCCTTAGAGCATTGGTGAGCAATAACTGCATCACAGGTCGATTACCATGTCTCAGTGGTTTATGCCAAAAAAAGATAATCTATCTGTGTTTCCACGTTGCTGATACGATTAGTATTGTACAACAAAGGTGTATTCTTGCAGCATGTTTATCCACTGCTCAATCGTACCATCTGGGTTTTTCAAACTTCTTAGCCATTTCAGTGATGCATGGTCTACTTGAATAGAGAATTCTCTACCACATAAGTAGTGTAAATTCCTTCTTTGTCGTACAATATTGGCATTCAGGGACACTCACTGTATGACTGGAATACAGAGACTCACACTCCATCCAATCCTGTACATGTGATAAAACCAAACTAAGTCGACTATTAATGGTGTCTTTATCCAGAACGAGTGAACAGTTTTGATTGAGATAGCCAACGCTGGTGCTTCAATTAAGATGTACTTTAAGAACTTAAACGTATCTTCACATTTTTTGTCCATACAAATTGTACTTTAACCTTGGTCAGTGCCAAAAGTTGTGTAGTTATCTTAAAGAATTTCGCTAAAAAACACAGATAATACAAAATCTACAAAGTTGTAAACTTCTTGTCTACTAGAATGTAGGGACCAGCCCTTGACTCGTAAGATCTTTGCAAGACCAATAAGTATTTTATCTCTATTGACAACGTGACCAAGCAACCCCACTTCCAAATGAATGAGGAGGCACTTTCCTGGTTTCAATTTCAAGCCTGCTTCCTTTATACATTGGAATACCTCAGATTTACAGCAGCAGCCTGAAATGTGACCAAAGACGAGTATGTCATCTGCATAAATGAGACATCTCTCCCATTATAGCTATCTCAGTTTAATTTCCTTCAACTTCGCAAAAGTTATAACGGTATTACACAAATCAAATGGTACGATATAGAATTCATTCCATTTTTCTTGAGTCTTATGTCTACTTTCGTTGACAGCTCAACTTTCCAATATCAAGAATTGAGGTCTAGTGCACTGAACAAACGAACATTTTCCAATGCATTTCGACATTCATCCATGTATAGTAAATGAAAAACATTACTGTATTTAACAATTTAATGTTCGTACAGAATTTTTTGGTGTTCCTTTCTTTCGTTTTTTGATAAATAGTACTAGAGGCGCCCAAGCACACTCTGAAGATTGTACTATCCCAGTTCGGTTTCAGTGCTGCTCATATCTCTGGTGCTTTAAAGACACTTGTGTAGCAATGGCTTATCAGACATGCATCCCTTGTATCTATGAGCTGGCTTGTGATTGTTGTTTGAGTCAAATGCCATCTGGTCCCATAAACACATCAGCAAACTCATCGAGCAATTCACTAAATTCGTGTATATATGTTGAGTTAAGGTTGTTTGAACAATCTTCAACTAGAGACTTCAGGTGCTCTGGAAGCTAGGTGTTTATTTTCAGATGCAGTACAATGGTTATTACATCAGCATTAAAGCTAGTTCGCATCACATCTGCCTCTGTTACCATGCTAGTGACCATTCCAGCTGGAAGCTGAATGTCCATAGTTATATACTAGCATTGGTACAACACCCTCACTAACACAGATCACTGTTCGAGCTAGTGCAACTTGCTTTCCATGCAAAAAGCATTTCATATGTTGGTTCTATCATCACTGTAGAAGGTGACAATGCACTAGAATGTATACATAGTACAACCATGAAATATAGCTTAAACCACAGGGGGCATTACTAGTTCCTTTTCAACATGCATGTGTGTAGTCCACTCTTTGTGGGCCTAATCTGAGCACTGGATGGAATTTTTCTGGAACTGTAGTTCACCTGTTGCAGAAATAAAACTAGCTGACATTTTCAACAATAGGTTCACCCATAAGATACCAATGTCTGAACTAAAAACAGAAACAGATACCTTCATATGACATGTAATATTGCCAAGGCGAAGTCAAAGATTCATCTCTAATCTCATGTCTAGCTAGCAACCATTTATCAGAACAAAGTTTGTGCTATTTTTGGAAGTGGTGGATTACAACAGAGTACCTGATTCACAGTAAGGTCGAGTTAAGTTCTGGCTATTCTACACTAAATATGTAGCCTCAAATCCATGTATTATCATTGGCATATACCATGTTTCTCCAAGTTCACGGTTCTCTATACTAGCAATCATAATGTTAGGTGAAAGCTGAAAACTGTATTTGCTGAAATTGACAGCCAGATCCAATGACTGCAGCAGACATTACTCAATGCCAATGTTTCTGTATCTGTTGTGGTATTGGCTTGAAAGGTGTTTTGCATCTGATGGTACTGCCTGACAACAGAATATGAACATTTCCACAACTGGTGATCAAGCAGGTGTTTTTTCCATCACGCCCATGGTGCTTTTGTGAGTATGACTCGAAATGCACTGGTAGTGTGGTCATGGCACATTAGCCTATTGATCCATTGAGAGCCATAGCTGCTGTGTCATACTATCTTGTGGCTCTGCTGTTGTAGAGCTTTACATATTCTGAAGGGTTTTTTATAGATAGTTTTGCAGCCAAAGTTGTAAATGTTTTGTCTTTTTCTATCACTTGTAACTTAAGGAGAACACCCCATACTGTTTTCCCCTGGAAATATCTTTATGAGAGGTGAAATACCCCTCATTAACATATGATTCCAAGTGGATTTGACTGGCAACTCCTCAATAAACCTGTCAATGAGCTTCTCAGTCAAGCTTCACGAAACAAGATATGAAATGTCTTTCTAGGGAATCATCTTAAATCATCATATTATAGGCTTAGCTCTCTCAAAATCACTACCTTTCAGCTTTAATCTCAAACCTGTGGATCACTCAGTTCTTCACGGGGTCAAATCTACAATAAAACTCATTAAAATGTGTCATGCCTTGTCCAAATACTATAGTTCATCGAACACTAGACCATCTAAGTTCAGTACCAGGCAAGTTAAAGCCTATCCTTGAGTCCCCCCATTCCAAGAAACAACTTTCTTTAAAGGTTAAATGAAATTCTCAATGTTCCTCCTGTTCTGTTGCCTTGAACACTAGATGGTTTACTCGTTGTTTTGTGTGGTATGCAGGCATACTGTTTTCCTACCATCTATAATGATATAATTATTTTTTCTAAGTTATTGATAATAGATTTTCTGCATTGTTAGGGTACAACACGTGGTCCAAAGTGCCTGAGATTATTTTGTTCTATCCAACTCAGCTCTTTGTTCTTTGATTAAATAATGTATTCTGCCTGCAAGACAATTTTACAGTATCTTGAGCTTGGGTTTAAACTAATTAGAACTGAAATATCCTTTGGTGGCCAAAGTGTGACGTCAACTGAATCTGACAGCTGACAAATTCTGTCAGGGAACAGAGGTCACGAGATGACCTGCCAATTGGACAAATAAAGCAAGCTGATTTTTCGAATTCACATCCAGACACTTTTTTTACCTGTTTGCTCCCAGATTTTGCGGAAAGAAGACCTTCTGAAGTTTATTCAGCATTTATTGTTGAGATAATCCATCTTCGGAGAAGGAAAACTTCAAGACTAATGGTTGCATAACTTGGAGTGTAGACTGTCCATCATTGCACATGGATACATGCTCAGTTTTCAGTGTTTTTGCATTGTAATGAATACAAATTTTGTTCATTGTATTTAAAGTTTCCAGACTCTTTTATTTCCACAGTAATTTCGAAAATGCATTCGAATACTAGGGAAGTTAACTTAAGTCACTGGACTGAGCATGCAGTTATTCGCAGGTATTTCAATCAGCAAAACTTGTCAGGAAGTCAGTTTGATATGAAAATAACACAACTGTACCTTATCACCAAATAACGTGCAGTGACTCCAATTGTCAGCTTCTCTGCCAAAATATTATAATTTTCATGTGACATCCTTTGACTCAATCCATAGTAGGATGGCTCAATACACAATATCAAACATCATAATTGCTATCATAATGATGTCACATTTTATAGCAATTTGTCATTACACCTCATTCAGACCAAACAATACTTATTTACATATTTCAACCAATGGTTTCCATTCAGTTCTAAGCCATTCCAAGCCAGTCGTAGAGATTTTTTTACTACCCGTCTGAACAGACAACTTTCTTAGAAATCCAAACAGATAAGTGTGCATTGTAACCCCTTTCTCGTTGCGTATTTCCACTCAGGAAGGACACAAAACAAAAAAAACATGTTTTAATATTGGCCATATGTTAATATGTTACACACCAAAATACAGGCGACAATCAGGCAACCACCCCTTTCGACCTATGTAACAGCGTTCCCTAACGGACATTTTAATTAAATTGTATTTAATACAGTTTAGAATGACAAAATAAACCAACAATCTAAAGAGAAGATATAATCCCAATATTTAAGTTAATATAAATAATAAATTGAAACTAAATCATTCAAAATGCAACAATAACTTAAGTCTGATTCATCACATGAGCTGGTGATCAGGCATACTCTCAGCACCATCTACCGAAAAGAGACAGTCGGCACGCTTCGAACCTATGACTGCATGATATAATATAGTATTTCAAATTTATACGAATCTATATAAATATAATAGTACTGTCTATTGTATTTCCATGTACTACTTCGCATGGTGTGGATGAATCTTCACCAAATTTGGTATGGAGGTTCATTGTGTCCATGGAAAGATACATACAAAATTTCAGTTTTGTGTTTTGAGAGTTTTATGAGTGTTTTGCGATTTTTACCACTGCTTCGCTCCCTGTTGATGGATCTTCACCAAATTTGGCATGAAGATTTGTTGAGTCCATGCGGAGACATGTGTAAATGTGCGGTTTCTAATTTTGTGCTTTGCAGTTTTTATGGGCATTTTTTACAATTACATATAAGGAAAGCAACTTTTCATGTCCTAAAATAACCTTTCATTAATCATGAATTTACATAACTTCCGTCAGTAAATAAATATACTATACTACTAGTTACTGAAAAGTGAAATTATAACTGTTACAGCTATGACAAATGAAATAATAGTATCTTGATTACTTACCTAGTAAATAAACTCCACATCTAAATAATATTACCAGGATGTTTATGAAATTAAAATAATATTAATTACATGGTTTAAAATGTACAGAAATATGAAAACCTGTTAAAACTGTTTCAGTTAAGCAGTATGAGCATTTCAAACCTTGTATTTCCCTTTATTTCCAAGAATAGTTTGAACACACTGATGGTCAAACTTTTTCATTGGTTAAAACCACTATATCTTGAATAATCTGTTCCTCTACTAACCACAATTAAGTCGATGGGAATAGGCACTCTCAGTCTGCGTTTAAACCTGACATTGATTTGTTCTTTCACTAACATCAACAAGCAGAGGGTAATGGCAGAAATTATTAGAGTCGCAGGTTTCACCTCGTCTATGGCAGAGAAAATGTCATTCAGTGTCTGAAACAAATAAAAAAGATGTATGAATATTTAAACAGAGCTTATTAAACACCAGAGTGAGCCTCCAATGTTTCAAGCATAAAAAATGTGTTGGTGGTTGGAAGGTTTGCATGTGGCTTAATATCATTTATAGACCTACTTCCTTCTACTACATAGAATAGTAATTGAAACTTACTATAATCATATCTTGAGCATCATAGTATCCGTTTCTATAAAAGTGACTAATAACAAATGTTATATAGATTTTATAGAAACATAATGTGGTTAAAAATAAAACCAGAAAGTAAAAATATCTTAGATCTAATTTATCTCTACCACAAGTCAATGGTAAGAAAGACAGTTATTCAATACCATAACTTAATAAGCCAATCAGCTGGGCCTAATTTCATCACAAATATTAGGCCTATTAATTCACAAGGCTCATCCAGTTTCCAGCATTCAAAACAACTGCTTTATGTTGATTTTTTGTACAAATGCAGTATCATAAGAGGATTTAATTTTGTTTTATGTTTTGTACTTTTTGAACATACAATATTTAAATAATCACATGAAAGATGATGCTTCTGGCCCGATACTTGGGTTAATGGCATATCTAACTGGAATAGTTTGAAATAAGATATTTCCCAAGTAAAACCTGCACATTTTACATATTCAATATCTACGAATTTAAGAATTTCTGGTTATACATGTTTACTCACTCTTAGTTTCTAACCATTAAGTTGGTAAAATTTCTACTGAATGCAGTGGTGTACATAGCATGTCACGAGCTCCACAGCATAAAAAAAAGTCGAGCCTCTTAACCGCCCTTTATCGTCTTCAGCATTTCATAGTAGTGAAATTATTTACAGTCTTATCTATGTTCAATTATCTTACTTGTGCTTGTTCTATGCTCAACCAAGCTAGTCCTGACAGTCTCTCTTGACACATTGTGTATATTGTTACAACATCGAGGTCACGTGACTAGTATCACGCCACGTCATTCTCGAACTTTCACGTCTTTTCCTTAAATCTCGTAATCTTTCTGGATATAGTGTAGTCTTGTATATAAAATACCGGCCACGATGCGACGGAGAGGTAATGAGTAATTGAATGTATGCGGATAAAATATTGTTGGCCACGTGAGACGTGAGTTATAGAGTTTGTTTTAGCGCGACTGTTGAAATTAAGTGTATCGCAAAGTTATATTCAAAAAGAATAAACCAGTTTTATTTAAGAAAGGACTTGTGTCGCTAAAGTTTCGTCGGAACGAATTTACGGAAAATTAACTAACGAACCGAGACGTAAGTTTGGAAACTGATCTCTCAGCAGTGGCAACAGTGAAAGGAATGGTTAAAAACAAAAAGAGGCTGTGCTAATGTCAGGAAAAGAAGAAATTATGGCACAATGAGGAGGTATGAATCTCTTTGACTGATTTTGTGAATGTTATTCCTAAGAGATGTTGGAAACTTAGCATTTTATTTGGAAATGATGATAATATGTTCTACTATATACTTTCTGGAATTATTTTGCTTTGACAAAAAGCTCATCATAAGTTATAGATACCGGAAGTTCTGATTGTAGAATTCCATTCATGCCATAAAACTAGTTTCCAAGCTGCTGCATAACAATGCCCAAACAAGAATAAAATAATTTCATTTTGAAATTTTGCTTGGCATCTATTAGTCTCTGATCCTCACTTAAATCATGAAACTGCCGTTTAACATTCTGGACCCTCTTTTCTTCAAATGCAGCGTGTGATGTTTGCCAGACACAAAGTGTCATACTTTGTTTACATGTTGCATTAGCAACTCCTCTCCATCTGTTATATGGCTCTAGTGAACCAGGCTTTCAAATGGGTTTCGATCCAAGTTTAAAGTCTGTATAACTTAATCTGTGGTATAAGTGAATTCCCTTAGCAACTAAACTCAACATTCCTAATATGATGCTGATTTTCTGTAGACTTTTGATCAATTGGTGATAGTGAGTTAGTAGTGTGTGCATAAGGTGAGAAATCTTTTAAAATCTTTTTACAGCCTTTCTCTCAGCCTGGGCCTTGTAGCAATGCTATGGCTACTACCGCGATATGTAATGTATGCCACTAACTGAATAGCTCCTAATTTTAATGTCATGCAAGTAAATAGTTCCTAAACTTTAACCTCCAGGGCAATTATTGGTTCTGAACTTTCAATATCATGTTAATAAATAGTTCATAATCTTTAATATCATGTTAGTGAAAGGTCCAAACCTGAAAGTTTTACAAATTTCAAGTGATTATCTCCTAGCTTAAATTTAAAACTTCAAGGATGAAAAGAAGCCTACTGAAGATGTACAATATTTTCAACATTTAGAAATGGAACTAACTGTGAGAACTACTTAGGTGTAGAACTCAATTAGCAGTCATCATAAAAACTAATGACTTACTTAAAATGTACATAAAGATCTTGAATTTAAAATGAAAATAATAATGACAATTATTTTATGGTGTACCTAATTATCTTTATTCAAAATGTCTGTGTGTTTGAAACAAGACACTCACATAAAATATCCTAAATGGTCCATGTTGAATTTTGATGTGAAGATCAAAGATATTTGCAATCTGAGAAACAGCAATAAGAACAGCTACCCCAGCTGTGAAACCAGACATCAACTGGTCAGATAGCAGAATGGGAAAACTGGCAAACCGAATCAAAGCCAAGAAAATCTGTGAGAAATAGATTGTGGACATAGTTATTTCTGATCAGTTTTATGAATGAGTATTATAACATGGTTTTAGTCATGAACAAAGTAACTATTTTTCTCTTTAATCAGTGAACATGGATTACTTGTTAATCATTAACTTTTTTTGAAGAAATGGTTTCGAGACATTTCCTAAATAAAGCTAATTACTCAGGAATTTTAACTTTCTCAGCAATATTAAGATTTTCTTTATCTGAAACTATATTTACAATAGATAATCAACTAGTCACACAGTGAACTTTTTTAGCATAAAGATCTTTTATAAATGCATAATTTGTTATCAGTAATTAACGTTTATAAAATGAGAATTTATAAAGAATTTGACAAGTT